TAATCCTCTTGGTGAAAATCTTGATTCCGACACAGCCACCAAAACGGTAATACTGAGGGATTTGCACAAATGAATTTTCCTGAGGACAGTGAAGTGCAGGCAAAACTCTATAAACAAGGAGGAAAATTGAAGTAGTACATTTACCACATTGAAATACACCACCCTCTACAGCAACTTCATTCTTGGGGTTGCAAATAGAGATTATCGCGAGAGAAAAAGATTTTAACCAAACCTTTTGCCCATCTGAGAACTTAGATAAGCGTACCTGTCAGATTAATTGAGGTTGTCCCTCTAGAAGAATATCCTGTTGTGACACAATAAACTGATCTCCAAGACTCCAACCCTATTATGGGAGTATATAATATAACCTGTCACAACATCTATAAACTGATCTCCAACCCCTATTACTTATATAATATAATCTGTCACAACATCTTTTGCAGTCGAAACATATATTCCCCATTTGGTTTCGTCCTCATAATAGCAACTTATGAAATCCATGGTCTCAGCGAGTTATGAAGAGTTCAGTAGCTCATACTGTACGTACAGCAAGAGAACTTGCTGGCCTTCTCAGGCAACATTTGCCTCGCAACTCATGCAGCAGCCTTCCTTGGTTCCTCCAAATTCAGCTACACCTTATTGAATCTGGCAAGGCATTTAAATCCTCACGTTGAATTCATCATATATCTCTTCACCCTTCTTCTTGATGGATTATTATAAGCAGCGGTAGCAATCCCAGTATCAAAATCACATGTAATTTAGATAATTAGCATATATGAGGTTTCACGGGTTACCTCTTGAAGCGTGAATAAATAAAATCTCTTCTATCACGTGAGCCTTCAGTTCCATAACGTCTTAATGGAATCTCCATCACCCGCACAATTATGATCCTCGAACGTTCCACGGTCTTCTACTGTGTTACCCAAATAATACCCGGAAATAACAATTTCGTGTGGGCAAAATTTCTAGGAAAACATGGCTGAAAATTTCGGCCAACGTGACTCTCTCCTCTATGGGGAAAACCTTATGTATTTATAGCACAAGTTTTAAGGGTTAAAATCCTTTTCCAAAACCTGTTGGGTTTTCCTTTCCACCAGAAAAATGATTCCTTTATTTCCTTTTATTTAGGCACTGCAGAGACCACTAAATTTAATTAACAAGGCTTCGAATTATGGAATTAATTTCTAATTTTCGAAATTAATATCCACCATAATTAATTACGAATTATCTATCTATATCGATATTATATTAAAAGCACGAACGTCCTTAACGAAATGTCATTCGCCTTTTTTACCCTTTGAAATTAGATTTCACATTAGACAAAATAGTCATTTAAATTATTTTACTAATATTTTGGATTTTGAAATCAACTAAATTTTAATTATTATATCCTTATTGAATTAGATCCTATAATTTAGGAGTTAAAATTCACTTTAATTTACCTCAAATAAGGAAAAGAGCCCCTTTGTTTTACAACAATATTATTCATATATTCTACGTTAGTCTATGTACTCCTTTTACGTAGTTACGATAAATCTGGTAACTAAGTATAAAAATAATATGCTTTATAATATTACAACACATATTATATTTATGATATCTGTTTTTATATTTAATATTATTACTGAATCATAGTTAATTAATATATATTTTCACCTTTTTTGTCACTTAATCATGATAAATTAGTATAGTTTAATCTTTGTATATTGACAGATGATTTTTTCTTTTTCAAAATATTTACCGCGATTGAGAACTTCTTTGTGGAACTATTTGTCCTTATTGAATTCAATATTCTTCATTTTCAGGACTTGCACTTTAATTTTATAATTCAAACATAATTTTAAATAAAATATTTATATAATTTTTAAAACTTTTTACTCATTTAGACAAGGTACACGCGTAACACGCATACTATTGACTAGTTCCACAAAAATTCGTAATTGCACAACTTATTACCACAAAAATTCGTAGTTCCACAAAAACTTTATACAAATGATTTGGAATAAAGAGGCCATGAGTGAAAAAGATGCTCAATAGGGAAAAGGAAAAGCCACAGCAAATTTAGAGAACACAAACAGCAGTACTAGATCTGGCTGATATCCACATTCGTCCAGCCAAACTTTGAGAAATTCCCCAGGGCAACTGGCACATGGCTATAAACTCGGTGGATAATAGGCCCGCCCCTCAAACTTCTATGTGCAAATACACGAATCTTGGAAAGCAGTTACAAATAACTGTTCAATAATGAAGCACATCAGAGATCAAAAGGGCCACATAGTCATTCCTTTACACGTTGTAAAGTTACTCCACATCAGCATATAAAGATTTATGATATACATTCAGCACACTGGTACTTCTATAAAGGTGCCTTTAACCCCCTTGCGTGGTAGTACAAAAACTCATGTATAAATTGCAACATAACACTGACAAAGGAAGCCCCATTGAGTTATGACTTAGAATGACAAAATCAAAGCTAATCACTTAGAATGATATAAGCAACAACATACCCAGTATTATCTCACACCATGGGGTTTGGGGAGGGTAGTGTGTACGCAGACCTTATCCCAACCTTGTGAGGATAGAGAGGCTGTTTCCAATAAGCCATCGGCTCAGGAAAGTATAAGCACCGCATTAATGAAAATATAGACAAGAACGGACAGTACCAAAAAGCCATTAGAAGCAGAATAAAAACAACAAGATAGTAAGGTGATCAACAATGGAAGAAACAACGGTTAGTCATAAAAACCTACTACCAACAGAAAGCGAGAATGCATGCCAATACTACTGTTATGAACATCCTAAACTACCTACTCTACTACTCTAATCCTCAATCTCCATACCTTCCTATCAAGGATCATGTTCTCGGTTAGATGAAGTTGCGCCATATCTTGCCTAATCATCTTTCCCCACCTCTTCTTTGGCCTACCTCTACCTCTCACACAAAAAAAAAAGTTCTTTTGAGAAGGTATATATATACAAATATGTTACCTTCTCAAAGAAAAACATATTGCTAACTTACTCAAATAAGTACATGAAAGAAAGAATGTTACAAATAGATGATATTGTGACCAATGAAGCAATTGAGCCATTGCATTGGCTAACTTGTTAAACAAAAGTACATGTACAAATCAGAACTGTCAAAAATAGACTGATTAGCAGGCCAACTGCAATCCGGCAGTCGCGCATATTGGCACTTGCTCACCAAGAAAGAAACGAGGAGGATAAGAGAAAGACATAATTATGGAATATGCGTTCCAAACTTTTAATAGTGGTAACCTACTCGGTTTTACTGTCGAACATTATATTTTCTAATTTTTATTTAGAGAATTGATCGCAATTGTAACATAATAGGGTTTGGTAGAAATTGCCACATTGAAACACCCTGACACAACTACACTCCAGACACGAGATCCACAAATGCTGATCTTAGTGATAGAGCAGCATATCCAGGATCTTGAAGGCCAATCACTATCGCATTAAGAATATTGCATAAGTTAATAAAACAGAAACTGAATACAATTTACCTTTCTCAAAAGAAAATAAAAAGAAACTGAATACAATTTCCATTGTCAAATTACCTGTAGATTTTCTTTTTTGTTTTTTTGATAAGTCAAACATACCATTACTATACACCAAGTTGGTGTCAGAAGTATATATGACTCAAACCAATTGATCCACTGGAATCTCTCTAATTTTCCAGCTATCTATACAATTTTATTAGAAAAATTTGCACTGTCATATTCCATGTAGATTTTTAATTTTTGGAGCAAGTCAAACATTTCATTACTATATACCAAGTTGTTGTCAGAGTATATTCAAATTTGTTTGTATGACTCAAACCGAGTCATCCACTGGCATCTCACAAATATGACAGCTACCTATACTACAAGTATCCTTGCTTTGCACCGAAAACATTGTCGCGTAGAATTGACTGTTTGTACATTTTCTTATTGCTGCATAATAGCTAAAGCATGCAGATAATGCATACCTGCCATATATTCTCACTTATTACTATCCAATATCATTAAAATATAAATGCTCTTTCATTCTGTTTGTTAGCAAAATCTAACAAAAATCATAAAGTTCGAGAAGTAGGATATGCATAAAAAGAGTCTTTCACGAATTGAGTGGAATTGAAACAATTCCAAAACCCCAACTATCAACAACAAGAACCATAAAGGTTTTCAGAACCTTTCAGAATCATCTCAAATAAGACATCTTTAGAATTTGATGTGATGTTCAGTACACACAAGATCAAGCAGGATATAAGATATTGAGACCATGAGACAAATTGCAAGAAAGAAGTTAGTTCGGATATACCTGGATACAGATGATCGCAGCTAATCTAGTCTTAGCATAGGGTGTCTTGCAAGTAACCCTCCCTGATCCATTACTGTCACTGTTTTCTGAATCAGATGATAGTGTTAGAGATTTATCATCCTCCAACTGCAAGTTTTTCAGATTTTTATTTCGCCAGTGTGGAGGCCTATATCGGCCCGCTTGTGATTTTGTTGATTCTGCCAAATCTGGCTTCATGCTAACAGAAGTAATCTGCTTCTTATCAGCAATGGCAAACATATCGTGTGATTTATTAGTAAGGCCATAATGAATAAAATTCTTCAAGGCCACAATAAGACCTGCCACATGGCCAGGGTCGAAGCTACAGTGTAGCAAGGGTGGTCAACTGACCACCCTTCGTCCGAAAATGTCGGAAAATTAACACTGTGTATATAGGTAAAATTTTGGATTTACATGCATTTAATACATATTGAACACCCTTGCAACAATGAAGAGTAATAGCTCAGTGGCAAAGGGTGGTCAAGAGGGCCTCATGGGCGCGGGTTCGAGCTTCACTCTCCACAATTTTTATTTTTCTTATTCAAGTTTGAACACCCTTGAAATATTTTCTAGCTTCGCCATTAATTCTGTGATACAACTTGCTCCAAAGATCATGTCAAATAAAGGATAGATAGTAAAATTGAATGCATAAAGCTGGAGGAAGACCGAAGAAGTCCCTATAGTTTAAGCATAAATAAAGAGTCCTTCTACCTGCAATGGGACATCATGCTCGTCAAAAGAGAAAGAAGAAAAAGAAAAAGAAAATGCAAGCAGGAGTTTGTGGATACAACTTTATCAGACATCCATAAACTCCAAAGTAGTTCTTAAAATTTGCATAGCTCATCTTGTTCTCCCACCTAGACAATTATTGTTCTGAGAAGTACAAAAAAAATGCCAATACGACAGTGAAGGGAAATAATTTCAACATCTTCTTTTAATCGGGTAAATAATTTTAATATTAAAATGTACATCTTCCTGCTTTACTTCCTTTCAACCCTTGGCTGCTTTCCTCTCTTCCTATCATTTGCATACCAGGTAAAATTTTGTGCGTTGTCAACTCAGAAAGCTGAATTTGAAATTCCAAATAAAAATGCAATCAAATATTAGACCAAAGCAAGTCATGATATTCTTACGACCATCTTATTCTTTTTCCCAGCAGATAAAAGGATAACTTTGTCATCGACAATGTCATCCGCCTCAATCTTCTTACTCTCACCATCAACTTTGGCATTGTTCAAGTAAAGCCCTCCTTGCTTAAGCATTCGTCGAGCAGCTGATTTGCTCTCAAGCAAACCACTGGAAACATAAAGATCCAAAATCGGTATGTTCAACACCTGATCATAATTCATGGAGCAAGACGGAACATCAGCTGCAATACCCTCAATCGTTTTCCAATCCAATTTGGTATCAGCATTTCCAGGCTTCAATGCCTCTGTAGCCTTAAGAGCCTCTTCCAATCCCTCTTGTCCATGAACAAACCGTGTAACCTCTTCAGCCAGCCTACGTTGAGCTGTGTTAGGAACATATCCCGGTTTTCCCATATCCCTCTCCACCTCTGCAATCTCTTCAATGTTCAGAAAAGTAAGAATCTTGAGAAACCTCACTACATCATCATCAGGGACTGTAAAGAAATATTGATAGAACTTATACGGCGACAAAAGTGAAGGGGCTAGCCAAATTGCACCATCTTCTGATTTTCCAAACTTTGTACCATCACTCTTGAGAAGCAAAGGAAAAGTAAGCCCAAAAACAACAGGAACACTGCCAACAACAGTTCCATTTTCGGAAGATTTTCCGGTAAGCCTACGGATAAGATCAGTACCAGCAGTAATATTACCCCATTGATCACTACCACCAATTTGCACACTGACATCTTCTTTTTCATACAAATGCACAAAATCATAACCTTGTAAAAGCTGATATGTAAACTCAGCGTAACTCATCCCTTGCTCCGCATTCTCCAACCTTTTCTTCACACTTTCCTTAGACATCATAGTCCCAACTCTTGCATACCTCCCTACATTCCTCAGAAAATCCAAAAACTTTACATCCTTCCACCAATCATAATTATTCAAAATTTTCACCTCTCCAGCATTTTCACAAACATCTGGTGAACCAAACAAAATCTTCTTAATTATCCCCCCAATTCCAGATATATTCTTCTCAAGTGTTACTAAATCAAGCTCGGGTCGCTCCAAACTCTTCCCGGACGGGTCACCGATCCGACCCGTAGCGCCACCAATTAGCGCAACAGCATTATGCCCACAACGCAAAAACCAAGAGAGAACAATTATGCCCAAAAGGTTCCCAAGGTGTAAGCTTTCCGCAGTCGGGTCAAACCCGCAATACACTTTCAACGGACCAAAGTTCGAGTCGGAGCAAACGGAGCGAAGATAGTCGCTGGTCACTGATTCCAGTAACCCTCTTTCTTCAAGAATTTGTAGAACATTGGGTCGGGTATTATTATTCGGATTTTGCCATTTTTCGGGTCGTGGATTGTCTTCTTGGGATGTCAATTGGGTAGACGAATAGCAAAAGGGGCGATGGGAAAATTTGTGGTTATTGGGGAGAAAAAGACAAGTGGGTAGTGAGAGTTTTGTAAAGAAAGAGGGAGCGAAAGGACTTTGAGTAGTAGTCTTGAAAAGAAAAGCTCGGAGGCTAGAGTTAATGGCGCCGGCGGCAGCCATTTTCCGTTTAGTTGTTTTGCTGTTTTGTCTGCTTGGGTTGAGAGAGTTTAACTGGAAAAGAGTTCTTGGAAGGCCATCGTGTGCGTATGTTCCTTTGGGACATCCGATAAAATTGTCTCAATTTATTTTGCAGTCTTCACTATTAATTTCTAAATTTTTTAAATTAAAAATTTATACAAAAAAATTACAACAACAACAAACTAATAAAATTACACAAATAGGATTGGAATGGTAGAGTGTACGCAGGATTTGAGCATTACGGGGGCACTATTATATTAAGCATACGAATTACTGGCCAATAGCGGATCCATAATTTTCGTTAAGGGTTTCCAAATATATAAAAGTAAATATATCAGAAAATTAAGGGGAGTCAATACATAGTATAAATATATAATTTATTTTTTTACCTGTACACACTGTATTTTTCCCGCGAACTTCCTATAAGGTGGCTCCGCCACTGTTACTGGCGATAAAGTTCGGCGCGCAACTCTTCAAAAACTTAATGAGTATGATAAATTATCAGCAAAATACAAACTTTAATTTTATTAAATATTATTACTTATATTCATAAATACTATATTGTTACGAAGTGGACAACAAAGTTATCCCAAGACCAAAATTCATATGTAAGAAATAAATATTATTATACTATACACTTTATTAATAAAAACAGTTCCAATGTTCAAGTTATAATAAGATTTTAAGACTTACTACTTAACCTAACTACTATCGGAACACGTATTAATTAAATTAAACAAGTTCAAAATTTTACCCTAGTCCTATAAAAGATATCCTAATTCGAAGTTCTGCTTTGATACTAATTTCCAAACACAATTTTATTTGAAGACAAACACTTCACTGAAAGAATATTTCAAAATAGCATTAGCACTCAATTTTCAAATGCCTACGAGCTACGACATTAATTTGGCGTTCTCTTTTAACTCGACTCTTTGCAGAAAGCAAAAGTTCAATAGCAGATTATTTTGCTAAGTTAATATCTTCAAAAGAAAAAAAAACTTACTAAGGGTATGTTTCAGCTGAAGAAGAGTCTCAAATCGAGTCACCGTCGCTAATTCGCACAGTCAGAGTTCAGCAAATGCAGAAAAAGGTTAAAACAATCAATTGAAAAAGAATTTTTATTTTTAAGCAGAAGGGGTGAGCGAGGGATTTTTAAAAAAGTTAAAAATTTAGGTTGAGTATTGGTACAAGCATTAAAGAAATCAGAAAAGATAAAATAAAAAAAGCAGTAGATTAGTACTAAGTAAACAATCGTTGAATTAAAAAAGAAAAAGAGAAAAGGGAAGGAGTGAGGTGCAGGAGCTAAGTTTCGAACCTGGTCCCATCAACTAACTGAAGCATTTGAGCAGGCTACAAAACCAGCACTTTTGTCCGGCTTTTATTACTTAAAAGGGCCAGGTAAATTATTGTCACGACCCCAAATTCCCTCCGTAGGATGTCGTGATGGCACCTAATCTCTAAGACTGGGTAAGCCTATCAATGCGGAATAATAATAAATATCTGAAATAAA